GGTTTTCAATGTAAAACTATATGTTGAAATGAAATGTTGGGGGAATGATAATGATATAATAAAAATATTCTTCGACACATTACAAAAATGAAACATTACTCCTTGATATATAAAATGGCAAATCAAGAGAGATATTCGTGCAATTCTTTGACTTGTATTATTCGCGGGAAATTTATTTATTAATAAAAATTAATGTAATAAGCAATTTCTTTGAATATTTATGTTTAGGTGTCTGATAAAAATCCTAATTTTAAAGCCAATTTCCATTCTTTATCCCATTTATGGACACAGTTTTCTTAGCAAATTCCAGATACTTTGAAGGGCCCTCTCCCTCTCTCCAACTCTGAGAGGGCCCAAAGCGAGGGGCTTCAACAATCTGTCAGGATAAAGTCATTGTCGTTGTCATTGTTGTTTCTTTTGCAATTTGTTGTTTTTGTTGTTAGAGCCAAAAACAAATAGACTCGGAGGAAAACAACAAAAAAAACGAAAGAAAAAAACAATGAAGTAAGAGAAGATTCGACTGCCGAAGCATTAAATACCCTTAAAGGTTCTTTCTTCCTGTGATGCATAAGCACCTCATTTAACTTGCTTTTGGTTCGAATGAATCTACAGATTCTTTGGGGCACTCGTCTCTTATGTGGAGTCGAAACTGCAACCTGCTCTGCGTTACAAAGCACCTTTTCGAATACATAATACCCACCACGTCAGCAAAGTGTATGCAAAAAGACGCTCAAATAAACAAACAAAGGAGAGCAAAGCAAATGTCGCTGGCGGCACGTCCGCCAGGCAAGGATGCCAGGATGCTCCAGCTCTGCCGCGTTGTCAGCGTTACGAAGCTCTCCGACGGCTGCCTCTGTGCCTCTGTGTCCCGTAATGAGCTTACCTTATGGATATACAAAACAAGTTGCCACTGGATGTTGTTGCTTCGCCTGCTGCTGCGGCTGCCACTGATGTTGCCACTCCTCTCAGAGTCTTGGCCTGCAGCCAGCACTCTGCTGCACAATTGGCAAGGATGCTAGTGATTTCCTTAGCCCGCTTCCTGTTGCTGCTGGTGCTGCCACCTTCCACCTTCCACTTCTTAGAGTTTGAGTTTAAATTTCAGCTTGAGTTTGGTTTTGATGATGTCTGTGGCGCGGAAATCCGTCGCACGGTTGTCGCCTCGATTCTATTTCTTTTGGTTTTTGTTTTGTTTGATAAATTTATGGCTAAAAGCGCACTAAACGGAAACTGAGACATAAAATCAGTCAGCACTACCCGGCAGCTGCTGTTTGATTTTACGAGCGTCTGTTGGCATTACGCATACGACACGCGGTGCCGCCCCTAACCCGCGAGAAATGTGCGAGAAATTTGTTTGTTTTGTTTTTCTTTTGGCTGCATTTACCCCAAACAGAGCGAAAGAGAGCGATGGATGGGTGGATGGATGGATGCATGGGGGCATCACTCATACGCAGCGTGGTGCAGTGGCAAGTGGCAGTGGCATTCGCGCGCGCGTTTCCCAATTGGCAAAACAAATGCGAGTGGCTATAGATTTACACGATTTTAACAGAGAATACAACTATAAAGAGAGTAGGGAGAGCAAAGGAAATTATGAAATTTTTTGTGTGGGCCTTCTAGATTTATGGCTTGTCCAAACATTATCTGGCCGCGGGAGCCGCGTTATTTCGTACAAAAATCATAAGTATCAGGCGTCTATATATTAGCACATATCCGTGTATATATATTAGATATAGCATCGTGTTGTTGCCACTCGCATTTGTTGCTGTTGCTGCTGCTGCTCTTTTTCTTGTGTTTCTTGTATTTAATTTTATACTATGCGCACTTACGCACCCGCACCCGCACCATGGACACCGCGTATCCCGCACTCGCAACTCGCAATCCGTCCCCGTACCCGCTATAACGTTTGTCTTACACGAACAAAAACTCTTCCTGCTCTCGCACTATTTCCTATGCGATTGAGATTCAGAATGAGATTCCGACGGACGACGGAGACACAGACGGAGACGGAGACTGACACACGGAGACAGTGACAGTGACAGCGACAAAAAGACTCTCTGGCTACTGTGGCTACTGCTCTGTTGGGGCTCCGCACACAACGACTGACCAAGAGCAACTGAACGCCACTCTCGAAAGCGAAGAACTTTTATAATCTCTCCTGCCATAGCACGTAGCCGAGGCAGACGATGCTCGGAATGGACCATTCTTTGATAGCCGACATCGCGGCCGATGTTGGGGTCGTCGCGACGACCGACTGCCTGCTGCACCTGATGCGCGCTCTCTTCGTGTTCTGTGCTGTGCTTTGGCCCGCTCTTAGTTCTGGCGCGCTCCCTCTCTTCAGCTCACGTTGGCGCGCAAAACTGTTGCTGTTGTTATTTAATCGCCGGCACATCGCCTCACTCAACATTATTTGCATACCCTGCAGTACAGGGGGAGTGGCATGGCTTAGTTAGCTGGTTAAGTTGCTCAAGGGAACTGTGTGACGAATTATGGGGATTGCTATTCAAATAAATAAATAATACCCTTACATTTTTAGACCCACAAAGTACCCAATTGGAACCCTTACCTATCCAACGAAAGTGTATCCCCAGTTCTTCGTCAACAAGTGTCGTAGAATAGCCTTCAGCGTCCCCCACATTTGGATTTCCGTCTGAGGTGTACTCGCGTACTCATATAAATCAATTGATGATATAGCTATCTCCGATCTGCCGCTGACTGCAGCTGCAATGAGAGATCGTGCTTGGGGTTCGGGTTTGGGGGCTTTGGTGAGGCAGTGTCGATCGTCAGTCAAGTCAGAACGTGTTGAGCAATGAGCGAGCGCGATCGTTCAACGCCCGCCCGGCTAATGTCTTCAGTGTCCGTCAGTGTGGTGGGGCAATTTGCCTGATAGATCACACATCACATCACATCATATCAACTATAATTCTGACAATTTGTTGACACTTTTGTATCGTTGTTAGTGTTGGATCTTTTGTTTCGCTATACTTTTTTTTTGGGGTTCGCATTTGATGATGATTATTTAATGGCAATTTACGCGATAGTTCTCCCACTTTCGTTGGCTTGGTGTTATGATTATATTACTGATAGACACAGAGTGGGAGAGAGTGGGTGATCTGGTACGCTCTCTCTCTCTCAATATGATGTCTGAATAATTGTTGACGAAATTCGGTTTCAGTTGGTGCCTCTTTATGATTGATTTATGAGTTGGGGGTCTCTGCGGGGTCTCTATCTGCCACTCATTTATTATGAGCACGTCTCATTACGATGGCGCTGCCAGAAAATTATTTATTATTATTTATATACTTGAAATAAAACGAATGAAGTGAGTACAAAGTTGTTATCGAAGATAACAAACAAGCAACTTCTTTGTACGGTTGCCAAATTGTTGCTAATTGAGTGGCCATAAATGGTGTTAATTATGAAATCAAGTTTGAACTGATGACTTAATGATAGTTCAAGCTCAAGTTGTGGCAAATATATATATATGGCAGATGCTATATCCTCATAACTAATCTAAGAGATATATGTTTACCTCTCGGTTTTACTATTTCTACGTAGTACTCATACTGGCTGACTCACTTGACAATTGAATTCGTCCCAAACGAAAATATTACTCATACATCCTGTTGATGTTTACCCCCCTTTTGGGTGTTGACTGCGACCCCCATGAATTGTGGCACAATTCTATCGAAAACATTATAAATTTGTCATCTTTTTGGTTTGGTTTGTCAACGTGGAATGTTGGATGATTTATTGGTTTATCTCTGATTCGAATATATGTAATGTGGATATATACAGATATTTATTTTTAAACATCCAATGAGAGGGAAAGAAAAACTAAGTAGGAAGAGATACGCACATAGGAATATTACCTCTGAAACTTCCTTCGGGTATAAATTTAAATTTTAATAAATTCCCAATAAATGTGCAGAGTATTTAGCTACTCCTCTCCTCCTCATTGTGTGCTCATCCACCCCTTCCATTCACTTTCCCACCCTTATCATTCACGTTCACAAAATTCAAACAAAACCAAACAGAATTTATCGCATGCGATATATCACGAAGGGAGGCGTGCCACATAAACCACCAGTTCGAGTACGAGTTTATTCCTCTCTATTTAATCAGTTTGTAATGCTCATAAAATAAACGACAGTAAGTATTCTGTGTGTGGCTTGTTGTTGTTGTTGCCATAGCTATTGTTTCTGCTGGGCTGCTTCTGCTGGCAAATAAAATGCAAATTGTGTTTGGGTTTATTTTTAATTCAAAAAGCGACAGAAATAATTAGCTATTGAGTGGCAAATGATACCGACACTGAGCTTTTATCAATGAAGCAAAAGGCAAATATAATAAAGCAGGAAGGCAGCAGGCAGCTGGCAGGGGCATACATTATCAACATAAACCAACAGAGGAGGGGCCCGACTCCCATATAACCCCATATCCATATCCATACCCATACCCATACCCATATCCACACCCGCATATGTTTTGAGTTTCATTTAAGTTTGAGTTTGAGTTTGCATTTTGTTAGAATTTTTCAAAATATTCTAATTGGTTTTGGGTTGGCGCTACACGATTTCCATAAATTAAATGGCAGAAATATTTCGCATTCACATTTGATTAGGGGAGAGAACACACAAGGCAAAGTCCGCAGTACCAGTATATGGACGTACCCCCAAAGTGGCCCAACCTTATACACTTGAAAAAACAGAGGATATATTTAATTGCAGCTAAAATATATGCTCAAAAAAGGTTTAAAAATATACAAAAAATATATGATCTGCCAGGAAAAATTAATTTGTAAGCCTTAAGCCGCCTTGGCTTTATATCCTTTTCCCTCGGTGTATCCCGCTTTGGCTCGAATGCAATGTGCAAGTGTCACTGATTTATGGCCAAAGTTGGTCTACGAGTGCATGTGTGTGTGTGCCAGTTAGCTTGTTTTGACCAAGTTAACTGGTTTAATGGCCCAATAGTGGGAAAGAGTGAGAGGGAGAGGGCAGCATACTCACTTGTACCGCTCTTCCGCTGACTCCGCTCCTGCTGCGACAACAACGGCAACTCCAGATCCCCTCCTGCCTCCTCCTCATCATGGCTGCCAAGGCGTTTTGCCATATTCACTTTTGTTTTTATTTTGTTTTGTTTTTAGCAATCTTTAAATATTCGCTTTGATTAATGATTATATACTAATTATTGCGATACGCGCGGAATGGCAATTTCAGTTTTAGTTTCAGTTTCGTTTGCAGTTTGAGTTTCTCTGTTTTGTTTAGCTTCCCGAAATCACTTAATTTACGACTTGGCGCCGCGCGACACTCGACACTTATCACTCCTCCTCCGTTTAAGTCGCTTATCAGCCGGCATTGGTTGGTCCCGGGGGGTTTGGTGGGAAGGTTGAGGGTGGGGGGTTGGGTTTTGCTATTCCTAAGTAGCTCTAGGGCACTCGATCGGAACAGCTCGCGGAACTGCGGCAGCTGCTGCTGACCCACATAAATCACGTTCCAATGGCCCAAAATTGGCCAGACGTGCTGGCATTCGCTGGCATTACTCCTCCAGTAATTCCAGCCAATATTAGGGATCGTCTGGTCAACAAGGCAACTAGAAATAAACGCGGGCGCTAGTACTTTCTGGAGAAGAGACGTGCGAACTGTGCAACGGACGGTGGCTAACTGACTCTGACTCTGGTTCTGAATATGCTTGCAAGCATTGAGGCGACCACCGACCACCGAAGCAGCGCCCCAAGCATTGACTTAAAGGCAGTCGCCGATATAATGCCTCGGGTGCGTCTGCGACTACCGAAAATAAAGCTTCCACTTGTTTGTTTTTGTTTCGTTTTATAATTAACAGCAAAGACAAAAAGAATACACCGCATGGGAGGGGGAAAGACCGCATATTGGCATACCCTACCCTACCCTACCTGATGGCAGCTGCAAAAGGATGGAAATGGTTCCGTTTCTCTCTACAAACTGAAAGTGAAAACTAAACTACCTTTCGCCAAAGGGCATACGTTTCAGTGTAGGGGGAATGGTGGGTAAAATTGTATTTACACGTTCATTGATCGCCACTGGACTCGAACGAAACTGCTCTCTCACCTCTCGATCAACCTGCTGGGCAAACATTTCATTTTCATACTCATAAAGAAGACTGCCTGCAGGTGACAGCTGAATGCCAGACCCGCGCAAACTCTCTCTTACGATACAACCCGCCACCCCATTCCACGATCTACGAGCGATATTTGCCTTTAGTTTAGTTGATCCGAATGATCAAGTGATCAAGTGGTATTCGTCGAAACATATGCAAATTCCCCGCGAAGCGTGCTCAAGGTTTTTGCCAAATCGAGGACTGGTTGATCGCTCGGGGGGCCTTGGCATATTTCACTTGAATTATGGGAATTGTACGCATATGAGGCTTGCCGGCATTAACTTCCAAATTAAACAATCGCTTTTAAGTGATAAAGTAATGTTCATCTGTTGTTCTTATTGCATTGAAGTATACCAGGAATCAATTAATATGCGAATACCGTGCCATAGGGATTTTAATTGTCTTGCTGGTCGAACCCTCCTCTTAGAACTTTTAGAACTTGCACGACACTTACCGTTGCTCTAATCGGTCTGCACTGCAGTCCCCCTGCATTCGTAAACAAATCTTATCTGCTCGGAGAGGTAACTGTTAAGTGTAAAATGTGTAACACTTTAATGGAGAATATATCTCATGCTAAGTCAAGGTAAAATCCCCAATCTTTGGCTATATTTTGATGCATATTTCTCGTACTTCCCAGAGAGCTTTACATATAACAAGACTGCACCCACAAAAATATCCCTTTAAAAAAAGTTTCACCCTCACATCCTAATAGATGGGACTCCAACCTAAACCTAAACCTCCCCCAAAAGCACACATCAAAGCTCCAAGTTAAAGCTTAAGTTTGAAGCGTCAAACTCACCTCGGTTATGGCGCCAAGGATGTTTGCTTTTCCCAGGATACTCAGGAGTTACCATAACATGGCAGAACGGAACGTCAGGGACTTTGCACGCATTAAATAACATCAAAATAAACAAACCATTTTGCAGACAATTGCTTCGAGCTCGACCTGCCCAAAAATAGCCGCAACAAATTGTGGTTAAAGCAAAGGGGATGGGGACTATGACGTGGATTGAAGTGCGCTGATGGGATGGGGGTGGGGGTGGGATTATCCCAGCGGAAAAGTATGTACTCAACGCGTGGGTCGTGTGCCGTTTCAGAGATTCATCGAATGGATTTGCTCTGGTTTGAATGCAAAACGCTAATCGATATAAACCAGACAAAGGTCCTTCGGCATATGGGCAGGGGGTTGCTTGGGCTGTGGGCTGTGGTCTGTGGCTGATGGGTGATGGGTGCTCTACCAGCTCTTGACACTATCAATCTGTTTTCTGTGTGTTTGTTTGCTTTTGTGTGTGTGTGTGTGAGAAAGAACTGTTTGATTCAATTATCACAACATGCATATCCTGCTGCTGAGATCTGAGATAATCCATGGGAAATACCTTTGGGAAGAATAGTAGTACCGACTATGATTAGAAACTGGTTTCCAGGTGCTTCTTGTACTATTCTTAGTTTCGTGAAAACAGGTTTACCCAGCAGATTACTTGCTAATTTTAAATACAACTTTTTAATCTATTTGATTATCATAATAATCACAAATAAAGAAAGTGAATTTGGAGAGCATTTCAAAGTGCGAAATTTGATTGGTCTTTAAACTTTATAGCGACGTAGAATGTGTGTTTACTGAATAGATTGAAGTATGGATTGTACTTCCAGAATTCCAAATTCCAATTCTGCTGTAAATTTCAACTCCAATCATTTGGCCCTCCTTTGAGCCACTTCTTCCCACAAAGCTTCTCTCCGAATTAGCCTTCTAGCTTTGTGTACCCCTTTGTGTACCCTCCAGCAAAATTAACATGTTCGGTTTGGCTTAGGCTTTGAGCACTCTTCACGTATTATGCATAAATATGCAAATCAAATGAGAGTAGGATATACTAGAATATTTTATTTATTTTTCTGTTTTCCCACAGTCAGGGTCAGCGATTAGCGTCTCCTTCGGTGCACTCGTTTGAAATGCGATAATTTAATTGTGGCCCAATGACAAGTCCGAGTCGAACCGAACCGAACCACACTCCAAGCATCATCCACAAAGAAAGGGGTTGGGATGGGAAGAGTGAGTACCCGTCGTCGTTTATAGGGCGGTTTTCCTGCTGCGATTCCGAAAAGTTAAATTAACAATCGTGTTTACATTGGTTTGTAACAAGATTTCACTTAAGGATGTCAGCTTTGTACCGCCACCACACTACACCACATCACTGCACACACATTCCTGTTCCTGTTCCTATTCCTATTCCTATCTGCCGCTCAATCGGTTCGAGCTGGATCTCGGGATCGTGTTCCGGGCACTTACCCTCCATCAAAACTGATTACTGTCATCAGGGACAGACCCAAGTTCTGGGTGTACCGTGGAGTGTGCGCCGACGCGTGCTACAAGCAAATTTGTCTGGTAATGAAAAGGTTTGCGCATCCGCCCTGACATATTGCCGCTTCCCTTTGTTCGATTCTACGACTGCTCGGGATTTTCGCGCCTCGGGTTAGGGCACGCGACCTGGGTCGGTCGCCCGACTGGGCGGGCCAGCAGCGATGGGTGAGATTGGTCCCCCGACGTACGTAGCTAATTTACGCGTAAACCAAAACATCAAATAAACATAATTCAATTTCAACAATTGCCCCGTCCGTGACTGGTGTTGACAAAGGATCTGCGGCTGCTTCGAGTGGTTCCTGATCCTGTTTCTCTCTCTCTGGCTGGGGGGTTCTGGTTGAGTTAAATGATCCGTGAAATGTAGAGCATTCAGAGATATCTCCCATGGGTGTGTAATTGTCCTGATCCCGTGGGAATCCAACTCCAGTTGCAGTCCGATCAACAGGTTCGGTGGCCCCTATACAGAGCTCTCATTACTGACAGACTTCCCCGACTTTGTATCTCCCATATGGCCCTACATGACCTCAAGTTTTAGTTGGACTTGCGATGGGGTTGTCCTGGTTAGGGTTAGTCACTGCTCTCTTCCTGCTCTGCCCCATTGACAAACATGGCGGCTGCCTGCTGCGCGAAATATAATGGCAAACTGTCAAAAACAGGTGAAGGAAAGGAAACACAAAGCTAAAGCCGAAAGGGGAGTGTCTCAAATGGGGGCTGTCGGTTAGTGCGACTGAGAGATGCGCTACATTACAGGGAAGGGGGAAAGATGCCTGGAATAAGAATGAGAAAGTAGGAGAAATACTATTAAGAATTAGACGGGACCTTCTACTGAATTTAAAAGAAATAAAAATGTGTCTTTATCAATGGTAAGAGAATTCCAAGAACAGAAAGTCTTAAAGCTTTCAATTTCTTGAAGAAGTATTGCATATTTTCCAGCTACATATCTGATTGCCCTGATTTCCCATCATTTTTGTAAGATTCTCTAAGAATCTCGCCCACAACTCACGACAAATCAATTACCATAATTAGCTACCATCCAGCACTAGTTGTAAGGGGTGTAGGGCAGCAGCCAGAGGCCAGTAGGCTGAATGACTTTCCCACACAGCATCCGCTTGAAGAACGGGCCGAAACACCCTGTACGTACTTGTGAAACTCCGCCCACCCGTTTGAGGGCGCCGCACTGCGAATGGCTGTCAGGATGCTGATGCTTAGGGGTGGATTGCAAGGATACACACGCGGGTCCTTCCTTTGGCAGAGTTGTGGCATTTCCAATTGGATTTTGTGGCACTATAAAAGGCTCGCAATTCCCGGGAGACAGACTCATTAAACGTTTAAACTTATTGGACAGCGGAAGTGTCAAAGAGGTGTTCTGAAAAACGGCTAGAAAGTGGAATAAATAGAAACAATCTTGAACTAAAGTGAAATTATCTCGGAAAATTAAACAAAAATGTCGCGGAATCAATTGCCAGATTCGTCTTCATCACCGCCAATAAGGTGAGAGAGGGTCCTTGAAAGCTTGCAAGGAGGCGAAGACAGACATAAGTTTTTTCCTGGAATTTTTGGAATAAAACTATTCAGACTTTTGCATTAAAAAGTTCATAAAATGATAGCTTTAAGTAATCAATAAATCTGCAATAAACTAACACGGTTTTGGGACCCACAGAAACTTCCAATTTCTAGTTCCCCCACGAACCTTTGTGCTTGCCGACGGCATCTCCCAAAGAAATAAAACTCACATACGCAAACCCTATATATCCTTTCTATTCCTTAGCCACATGCCGTTCCATAACTTTGATGATGATCTGATCAATGATCTGCCCTCCTGCATCTATGCGGGTCAGCATCAGGGCGGCAACAATGGTGGCGGAGGTGCCGGCGGGTCAGGTGGCAGCTCCGGACTGCGCCTCAACTCGAACAATCTGCGGCACATCCAGCAGCACTATATGCAACACGGAGGAGGTATATACGACTCAAAGAAGCAAACAACAAAATTAAGCAGAAAATACTAAATAAATCTGTTGGATTTCCTAGAGAACCTCTTGGACTCCTCGACCAATCCCATGGGTGTGCATCAGTCGAATAGTGCCACGCCCTTGATGTGCAATAGTCCCAGTGCCAGCAGCAGCGGCGGAAACGGAGGTCCTGGAGGAGCCACAGGCGGTGGAGGTGTCGGAGGAGGGGGCGGCTCCAATCCCAACTATGGCTCGGTGGGTGCCTCAGCCGCCTCCAGCTACAAAATGCAGCGACAGGCGGCCAATGTGCGAGAAAGGAAACGCATCCAGAGGTCCGCACCAACTGGGTACACCAAATGGTCTTTTCCATTTTAAAAATTATTCTGTCCGAAGCCCCGAACCAGAAATGGTCGACTAACAAGCATTCCCCTTCTCCTTCCATCTCTCTTCTTTGATTTCTCGTTGCGCTTTGCAGTAGCATCAATTCGGCCTTCGATGAGCTGCGGGTGCATGTGCCCACGTTTCCGTATGAGAAGCGATTGAGCAAGATCGACACGCTCCGCCTGGCCATTGCCTATATATCCCTGCTGCGAGAGGTGCTGCAGACCGACTACGATCCATTGACCTATGTGGAGAAGTGTTTGCGTGGAGAGATCAAAGCGGATCGCGCCAATTGGAATACGAGTGGTGGGTTGCTGACATGAAACTGAGGAGAGGAAAGAGGATTGGATTCCTTTAATTGTGTGTGTTTATTTCATACTTAGATCTCACTGCTCGTCTCTCGTGGATCAATTGGGAGAACCTAGGCGTTCATCCTGGACGTCGCACGCTGCTCACCTCGCTGGCCCTCTCCTCGGAGCCCATGTGTGGTGCTCACTGCGGCATGCCATGAATGGGATGGTGTCCAGATTAGCAAAGCTAACTCTGGAATCACTTGCTAAAAGCACAAACTTCCCCACATGTCTTCCCTTTTATGATTTAGTTTAGTCTCACGTGTTAAGTCTTCCCCTTGTATTATGATTTAGTTAAAGACTGCTAGCATTTCTACAGTTACTAACAATAAGCAATAGTAGTGTTTTATTTTGAAAAGCATCCAAAGACACAAAAACCCCCACACAAAGCACCTTTTCCCCCCTCCACCAGTTGGAGTATAGTTGTTGGGGGTGTGGGTTGGGCTTCATTGCTGCTGTAGTGTGTGTGTGTGGGGGGGGTCTTGCAATTACAAATCAATTCCTCAAATCATATTTCAGGATATATATATATGTAGTATCAGATCAGATCAGTTGTAAATAGTGAGTATTCTACGAAACGAAGGCCGTACACATGGGCCCCACGGTTCGTGGCTAACAGACACATATACAGTTAGGCAACTATGTAACAACTTTAAAAGCATTTATATAAAAGAGTACACACACATTTCTGTGTGTGTATATTAATCTAGACGTAGACATAGACATATACATATTATATATCTCTCTCCATCTCCTTCGTATGCATCGTACATATACTCAAAAAAATAAATACTCTTTTTTGATCAACAGGAAAAAACTAAGAACACAAAATGTTGTCGTTTGTGGTTGGTTGGATGGATTGTTGGTTGTGTGTGTGTGTGTGTGTGTGTGAAACGTAGGCTAAATGCGCGTGTGTAAATTTGGTAATACATGATATATGCGGAAGATATCAACTAGACTTTAGAGACTGTTTTTTTGGCTACTACTCCTACTGCAGGCGTTTAAATTTTACCGCTTTAGTTCCGCTTTGGTAACATGGGTTGTTTGTTTTCTTTTTGATTTGATTTCGTTGGCTAATACTCGAATCGCTTTTTGGCTTCAATGATAATACAGGCACACCTACATACATATACATATACAGATACTATACGCAATGACACATTTAAACGACTACGCTCCTAATAATTGAATTTTTTCGATTGCTTCTCCAATTTGGTATTTGGTTTTGTTGCTTGTTTGATCTTATATTTGATCTGCTGGTCTTGTAACTTCACATCCTCTTGCATCGCATCTTAAGCGGGATTCAACACTGCCACCTTCCGCAGGCTCTCCAGTTCGCTGCGCTTCAAGCGTATTGCAAACATCGACTCTATAAAGCCATGGCAGTCCGTCACAATGCTGTCCTGGATCATAATGTCGCGAAAGTGACTGGCCAAGGCGGCAATATCGTCGCAGGCCAGAATGCTGGTCTTGTGGGTAACAAACATGGCCAGGGCGGCACGGAAAACGATCTTGTAGCCTTCGGCAAACACACAATCCCAGATGCGCAGCACCGTCTCCACGGGCAGCACCTCGGCAAATATGCAGATGAACCACTTGCTGGCAATAACGGGATAGGGAAGACCTAAAAACAGAGGAAAATGTTGAGAAAAGAATGGAAATGCACAGGTGGTAGACTCACCCAAATTGTCCACATGCCTATTGACAGCGGGCACGCGCCTAATCACCAGCTCCCGAAAAACAGCCAAGTCCCTGAGCAGATTGGCCATGTTATGCGAGTGATACTGTGGCACAATATTCTCCACGATATGCTTGAGCAGCCAGAAGGACTTCTCCTCGTCCTCGGTGACGATAAGCAGCAGCCCGGCAATGTAGTTTAGGCCCTGGCAGTAGCCCACATCTTGATTGTGGTGGGCGTAGGCGATGAGGATGTTGTACAGGCGCTGCTTCTTCGTGTCGAAGTGGATATTGTCGGGAAACGTACGAGGTAGATCGATTGATATGGAATCGCTGATTTCCTTGTCAAAGGTTTCGGTGTTCAAGAGACTACGATACAGATGGGGCGCCCGCCTTTGTTCGGCTGCGGCGCCGGATATCTTCATCCAAACATCGGGACGGTAGGGGCCGGGTATGCCCTTTCGAATATAACGCTTTAGCTTAGCATCTACCTGGCTGAGATCTGGATTCTGCTGCAGTATGGCCTCCCATTTCATGCGACGGCGTGTCAGCGTCTTCAGGTAGCCATCCATGAACTTAGAATAGTTCTGGTAGTCGAAGTTTTGGCCACGTTTGAAGCCATACTCGTCCACATCGCTAAATAAAAAAAAAACAAATGAGTTTGAGGGTCACTGCATATTCAGTGGAGCGGAGCGTGTTGGACTCACCTGAACTTTGAACTTGCGGTAGCATCCATAAGAACTAATGACTAGATTTTGTATTGCTCAAGTTTGTATTGGTCGTTCGTTGGTCTTTTCAGTTTTCTGTTTTGTGAAGGTTCTGCTGCGTCAGTCAATCGGCTGTGACTCTGGCTGTGGCATGGCACCAAAATTGCTTTTTGGTATTCAGCGCACGCTGCTCGGTTACGTCGCTGCCTCGGGCGCTGCTTCCGCCGCTGCAACTGCAACATTCAATTGGGTTAAAGGGCATTAAACATTACTTGCTTGCCACAAAGCCCTTCATTTATTTTTAAGTCACTTTAGCCTTGCCAAACGCCTACCTACCTCTACACACACTCTGGTCCGATGTCCTTGAACGGTGGGGTGGGTGGCCTTTTGTGTGTGCGCCCACTCGTCGTTGCTGCCTCTGCCACTGCTACGCTGCCTCTGCTCTGCTCACTGCTTTGGTAGGCGTTTTAGCGCGCCTCTTCACTGATAACATTTACCTCGCGCCGCAGGAGTGAGGGGGCGGAGCGGCGGGCACAGGTACAGGTGTCGCGGAGCACGTCTCGTGTGCCAGCGGCGTGCTTTTGGTGACTGGTGATTGGTGCGATTGGAGCTGCCACTAGTGATTTCATTGAAGATTTATGTGACACCTATCAACTGGCTAAAAAAAAGCAGAATTTGTTGTTTTTAACGCGAATAAAATTCGCGTCTCAGAGAATCAGTGTGACTGACCCTCTGAAATATACCGAAATATACCTTCTCAAAAATACCGTAAATAGTTGATCAGTCTATCCGATACATATCTAACGTTGCATGGTGTCTGACCTAGAGACGGAGGTAGTTAAAGTCATGCGATGTATCGAAATGTAAAATGTGACTAAAATTATAAGGTTTTTTGATAAAAAAAACATTTAATTCACTTCAAATTATATAGATTAATTCATAGTTTCAGTATTATTGCTTCCATTGATTATATATAGCTTTCCTTACCTGTGTCACGCGTCTCTGTCATGCATCAAGCAGTCGTCTCGTGTATTTGACATTACGCAATGTTAAAAACATCGTTTGCTTTGCAGCAAACGTACGAAATTTCGCGTTTATACACGCATTAAATAACTCGGGGGATCGACAAACATTTAAAAATGCTGCGAACAACAACGATGGGACTCCTGGCAGCCGTGGCCGTAAAGGCAGCCCCCGAACCCCCCAAAGCTCCAGCACCGAAGAAGGATGAGGATTGTTCACTAGTTTGCAGACCCAGCGAACTCCCCATCTATGGCTCCCTTCGCAAGACACAGTGAGTAGAGTGCACCTGCATTAGAAGCAACCACCAATTCCGATATTCCCACATGTAGGCCCAAGAAAGAGCCACGCATCTCGAGAGAATCGGCGCTAGAAAAGAATCTGGAGACTGGAGTGCGTACCGTGCGGGAGGAGGTGCAGGCTGGCTACCGGGCCGTAGCAGACCAGGCCGGCATCATCGGCAGCTACGTGGACACGGCCAAGGCCCACACGCAGCACACCCTCGACATCCTGAACGAGCCACAGAACTCACTCCATCGCAGCGGCGCCATTGTGGTGGGCGGTCTGGCGGGTTTCATCTTTGCCGCCCGCGGTGGCTTCGTCAAGAAGGTGATCTACACTGGCATTGGCTCCGGAGCGGTGGCTTCCATGTGCTATCCCCGCCAGGCGGAGGAGAACTGCCGCGTGGTGCTGCACGAGGGCCGCAAGATCTTCGCCGTGGCCTACAACTTCATCAAGGGCGTGAAACCCGGCGAAGAGGTGCCCATTGAGCCCATCAAGCAGTTCCCCACCTCGCTGCAGGACCTCAAGTACCTGGCACTGGATCTGATCGATGAGGCCAAGGAGGTGGTATTTCCCAAGAAGAAGTAGGAGCAGAGGCAGTGCCTCTGAAGCAATGGCTTCAAAAAACGAACCTAAAATCGAACCGGAAGTGTGAATCGATTTTGCGCTTCAATTCTTTCCGATTTTGTGTGATCATCTAGATAATGCTTTACCTCTTTCTCTCTCTGCGGAGTACTCCACGGAGTAGCCACAAAATAAATTCGCGTCGCGTCCCAAAAGTGAAATCTCTGTACAATTTGTATCTGCGATCTGTGTGTGGGCCGTGAACAGAATCTCTCACACGAATCTTTGAGTGATTAATTGTTGAAGCATCCGCTGGTGTTGGTGCTGACTGTTGCTGTTGCTGTTGCTGGTGTTGGTGTCAAATGTCACTGGACGCCTCGGAGAAGAAGCTGTTGAAAAGTGAAATCCGCTGGAAAGTGGCAAACCCCACGTGCACATCGACGATTGTGCCAATCATCTTCAATGGGGCCCCAGGCCCCTCAGGGGCCAGCGCCCCAGCGATGACTGAAAAGGAAATGAATGAATGGTCGAATACTCAAAGTGCCCGCGAGGCTTACAATTGTTCAACGAAATGTCAGAGATTCACTGACAGAATATTTTTCAATAGTTTTTTATTTTGCTTTTGGCTGCTTTCGCGGCGCTATAAGATAAACTTTGTTCTTTGGGCAAGATACAAACAACATGGATGGATGCCTGTCTGCATTTGTTTATAAATTAGATAGATTTAGTTAATTTTTTAATGATATTTCTAGCCTAAAATACCAACAACATTGTGGACATATTCGCAAATGACTCAAAGTACCTCCCTCCCTCCCATACCCTACCCACCCTCCCCTCACTCTAATATTTTCGGCTATTTACAAATGGAATTTCCCCTTCTAATCATCGTTTTGAGTGTTTTAGACAACTTATGGATCTAACATTTTTCGCTAGACTAACTTAATGGGCTCGTTGACTCGTGTGTTAGTGTGTGTGTGTGCTTGGGCAGGGGGCGTGGCAGTGTGTCAATGCTGTTTACAAATTGTTAAAATTGAAGCTAACTACGCTTAACATTCCTTTAAGATAAATCACACAAATCTTATATAGATACAACTTGATAAATTAAAACAATAACAAAAGTCGGGCGAGCATCAAAATGATCATCGCTTGATCATCATCTGACATGCTCCAGTATCCAGGGTACAAACTTGGAGATGCGCGTGCACACACCTGGCAGATTGGCCTCCGCACAGCCAATGCCCCAGGAGATGATGCCAGCCAGAAAGAAGCGACCATCCTGTGATTTGGCCTGACAGGGAGAATATCCTTAGTTAATTTGCATTCGAAAGAATTTTACCCATGAGTTTTGGCTTACCTGCAGCGGTCCACCGGAGTCGCCCTGGCAAGAGTCCTGGCCCCCCGTCTCATAGCCCGCACACAGGAATATATCTGGTATGAACTCCTGGCGGCCGGCGCGCAGAAACATGGACTTGCAATTGTCGTTGCTCACAATTGGCACGGATACCTTTGGGAGAAGGAATTTTAGATGATTAAGCTGCATATTTCTCTTTCAATTTAAACTAGCTTTAGTCTCTAATCTTTTCTATATTTCTTCTCAAAGATGTGGTACTACCCCCCAAGGTCTGTTTCCTCCCTTCAAATCTTTTCTCAAATTCATATTCCTAATTGCAATCTCTCCCACTGCAAATTCTATGCGCTGCTCATTTGCCTTTCGGTCGATTTGTTGCGGTCTTCAGTGTTGCAATGCTGCAATGTTGCATGTTGCTTGCACCACTCACCTCTTGTAGTACCGAGGGCAGAGTGCCGCCCTCGCTGAGCCGACCCCATCCTGTGACCGTGGCATTCATGCCAATTAGAAGGCTCTCCGTCTCGGGCAGACAAATGGGACTGACATGCGGCGCGAATTCGAGCGGCTGCTCCAGCTTGACCAGCGCCAGGTCGTACTCGTACGTGAAGAAGTTGTACTTCGGATGGACCACCTTCTTGGCCACGCCGCGCTCTATATAGGGCAGCTGTTCCTGCACATGGGAGAAGTCGTATTCGCCCACGCGGATGCGTATCTGAGAGATGAGAAGGCTGAATGGAAATGGAAATGGAGAGGCATAGATTAGCTTGGTTTATACTAGAACCCTGGACCGGGGACTCGGGACTCGGGACTGGAGACTGGGGATACTCACTCGTCCACACAGTGACCAGCTGTGGCTATCCAGTTCTCGTTGATCAAAGCGCCACCGCACCGATGGGTGCTCGAGAAGCCAAAGAAGGAGGTGCGTCGCACCGACACCTGCCAGGGCCAACGACCGAAGGCCGCACTCTTGCCGCCCACAATCCGCGTCTCGGGCCGTGCCAGCGTTGGGATGCCGCATTCTGCGAAAACGTAAAACGAAACAATAACAAATTGGAGTGTCAAGTCGGGACCTGATCTGGGGGCGTGGCACCTACCGCTGCGTGCCGCCGAAATGGTCTTCACATGCCCCAGCGCCGTCACACCCGCCGCCGCCACCGCCCCATCGTGTGTGGAGGAGTCCGTTATCTCGTTGGTTTCAATGTGGCCCCCGCCGCCGACAGACGATGTGGCCTCCAGGATGGGCCGATGCGTGGGCTGGCTGCTGCTGCTGCTGGAGATGATGCCTCCACTGCTGCTGCTGCTGCTGCCGCTCGGACTCGTATGTGGCCTGGTCGTGGTGGGTGTTTTGGCAGTGGTTGTCGAACTTCTCGTTGTGCTGCTGGAGCTGCTGCTCGCCGTGGTGGGCCTTTGGTAGGGCCTTGTTGTGGTGGTGGTGGTGCTGGTTCTGGTGCTGGTTCTCCTTGTCGTTGTGGTTGTCGTTGTTGTCGGAGCTGGTGTGGTCGTTCTCCTGGTTGTCGTCGTAGCCTTCGATGTGGAGAAGGTTGGGTAAGCCGACGATGTAGCTAATGATGTGCCCGCCGACAGCTGCAAGGCAGACCAAAGTGGTAAACATTATGCTAAAATACTCCAACCCAGCCAGCGGAATATTCCCCCATTCCCCCATTCCTCATTCACCATTCCAGCCATGCAAAGAATCAATTTTTCATTTCGCCGCTAAATCAGCATTAAGTGGGGATCTCTTTGGGGTATCCTCCGTGACCCTTGGATGCCCTAACTAAAGCGAAAGTTAGGTCGATTTTTTCACTAAAAAAGGGATAAGGTTTCCCCCCAGATACCCAAGATAAAACTTTGCCAAGATTCCATTCCACTCTTCCTTCACTGAACTACTCTTTCCTCACATATTCACGATATCCTTCTTGGAAAGGGCATCACATTCTATACACACCCCTGAGAGTGGCTCTCGTCATTGTCAGGCAGGGCAGGGCAGTGCAGTGCTGCGGCAGCCAGGCAAATCTTACATCAACTTTTGGCCCTGGCTTTGTGCAAACAATAAAATGTCCCCCAAGGCTGTGGCCGCCTGCCATTATGAAGGCTCAGGACCCAGTGCCGGGTCCCCAGTTCCCCGATTCCCCCATTCTGCGAAGTCGCGAAGAGTAAATGACCTCGTGGCTCGTTTGTTTCGCTTTCGACATCAATGCATCAATGCATCAGCGATACCCAGAGAGAACCAGAACTGAGACGAGAGAGGAGAGAGGAAAGCCGCAGCTTCAGCTTCGTATTTACATACCTGAGGCCTGGTGTAGCCCTGGCCCTGTCCCTGTCCCTGTGCTTGAGAATGGGGATGTGTCTGGATCATCGTCGATGTCGTCGTGGATGATGGTGGCGGTGGCGGCCGCTCGTAGACAATCGGTTTCTTTGTGGGCTTCGATGGCTTCGAGGGACGTGGGCCGGGCATCGGCAGATTGACGATGCCGGGCTTCGTCCAGCCGGTGGGTCGCGGCCTGGTAATAAAGCTCGGCTCGGTGGTCATCTGCCAGTGATTCTGTTGATTCTGTTGATGCTGCTGCTGTTGCGCCTGCTGCTGCTGCTGCTGCTGCTGCTGCTGCTGGGTTGATGTATGCCAAATGCTATCTGCAGTTGGTATTTGTTTGTTATAATTCGCTCTGTGTGCTGTGCTAACAATGCATAATAATTAGGGGGGTGGGGGGAGGAGGCGCCACTCACTTGGACTGGAGCTCGAACTGGAGCTGGCATGCGAGGCGGCACTCAGCAGATCCGACGACGTTGTGGGCCTGCTCTGGTAGGGCGGAGGATGTGGCCGTGCCAGTGTGCCCTGATGATGCGGACCCGAAGGACGAATCACCAGTGTGCCAGCGCCATGTGGACGCTCTATGGTGGTCATCCCACTAGAGAGGGAAATGGTGGAGTACTCTCTTTATTTTTGAAGATATTTTATGGACTTACCTAATCATTGGCTTGTAGGCTGGCGGCGGCGGACGCGGCCTCAGTGTCAGCGGCTTGGTGGGCCTCGTGTAGGAGAAGGCCGTCTGTGGCAGGACAATGTTGTCCGTGTAGTTGTGCGTGCAGCAGGAGCCGAACATGAAGGAGTCCACGCACATGCCCACATGGCGGCCCTCGCTCTTGATGCACTCCCACACGAACATGCAGGTGCCCTCCACACGCCCGAACGAGCACGGCTTGGGACTGATCTTGAAGTTCTGACTGCGCTGCAGCTGCTGCTGCTGGTAGCCCTCCAGTCGGTGGGGGCTGCGATAGAAGCCGGACAGATCTGCATCATCTTCGGCGTCCAGAACGGCTGGCGTGATCAGGGCCGCTGTCGCTGTGGCCACGAGGCAATTGACTAAGATTAAGGCTACTAATACTTCTACTATTTGGTCTAGACTCCGCCTGCTACGCCTTGCCCTCGCAGCTCCTTCTGTGGCTCCCTTTCCCGCTGCCGTTGCTTTGTTGACTAGCCAATGCCGTTTGGGACACATCTTGGTGGCTGCTGCTGCTGCTGCTCCTCCTCCTTCTGCTGCTGCTGCTGGGCTTCTTCTGCAAGGTAGAAAAGAGCATGACAGTTTTCGGACATAAGTCTTGTTTCACCTGCCGGAACCCATCCACCAGAACCACAACCAGAACCACAACCACAACGACTCCCAGTCAGAGCTTCTACTCTTTTTGCACCCCACTAATTAGGCGCACTTGTCGCGACCCAACAAAAACAAAACAAAAAATGATGGCACAAAATTAGAAAGATAAATAGAAAAGATAGTCGAAGACAGTTGTACCCTAAGAGGATTGTTCCAACTGAAATATATATTCATGGCATAATTGCCGATATAAATATTTGCAGTTGAAAGTCTACTTATCCCTTAATCCCTCAATCCATTCCCATAATTGGTGGCCATACAAGAGATGCTTTCCTTGCTATTCATTGCACTCTTTGTGCAGCATTATTATACCCCTATATACCTTTAAGGGTATGGGACATACAAAACCTTAGAGTCAGGCTTGGGGCCTGTGCCTGTGCAGCGATTTCTACTCGTTATGATTGCCCAGCAGCAGCAGCAGCAGCAGAGGTTGTAGCTCATGTTGCTGCTGTTGCTATTGCTCGTGTTGCAGATGTTGCTGCTGCCTGTCGTTGCAGTTGTCGTTTTTGTTGCTGCTGTTGCTGCTGCTGCTGCTGTTCAGTCAGTGACTGGTTTAATTACAACTTTTCACTTTTGCTTCATAATCAGTTTTTTTTTTCTGCTGTTTGTTTTGTTTTATTGTTGAACAAGAGTGGAAAAAATTTATTGCGATCGCACGGAATCTGCTTTACAACGACACATGCCACAATTAATAATTTCTTGTCCCCGAAAAAAAAAGAAAGAGAGTTGAGCTGCACTTGCAACTTGCCAGCTGCTGCCGCTTCTGCTGCTGCAAGAGGCAGGTATCTGTATGTATCTCAAAATTTAATTAAAGTTTAGCCAATCGCAATGGTAGCAGCGCACACATCGCCTGGTTAGCCCTACTCTGTGGTTTCCTTTGCCCCCCCCCGACCATCGCTTTGGTTGCTGATGACAACTTACCTGTGTCTAAGTCTGTGTCTGGGTCTGATTAAAGTTGCTTGCTTCATCGGTAACGTGCCGGGCGCATGTCTGCAATAGAGATTGTGTGGCAGAGAGTGGTAGAGAGCGGAGTTGAGAATATAATAATCATAAGTATAGGAGGGAAGCCACCGCAAGAAGCCTCCACTGCCACCATAATGGTGGGTTAGTAATTTTTATATACTATTTTTTTGTCTTTTTCTTTTCTTTTCTTTTTGTTGTTGTTGTTGTTACGCTGTCGAGAAAATGTCGAGCGGAATGTGCGCTGTGCGCTGTGCCCTGTGCTCTGGCTATAATTAGTGGGGCTAACTGCAGTAGATCCACATTTAAGTGGTGCTGCATGTGGCGGTGGTGCAAGGCCCAGCCCACCCACCAGACCAGCCCCCCACTCACGAGATTGCGGTATTAACCGATCCTTAGATCGTAATCGTATAATCACCACCACCAACATCATCATCATCATCATCAACATCAACATCATCGTCGTCGTCGTGAGGAGTTGCTGGTGGTGGTGGTGTAGATGCTGGCGAGTTTGCGCGCAAGGAAATGTGGCAGGAATTGCATTGGAGTTGCATGGGGGCTGCTGGTGTAGATGTGCTGCTGCCAACACTTTGGGGGCGTCACCAGCTGGCCATTATGTGACACTCGCATGAGTTATGCAACTCATGGGAACCACTTCTTGCCACAGAATGTGGCCAGTGGAGAGACTGATTATGGGGGTAACAATAATTGAGGGTTTACGTGTTTAATTACTTTGATTTGTATCTATTTTTTAAGGAAAGATTAAAGTTTAATTTTCGGAGAATTTATTCGTAGAAGAAGTAAATAAAACTTCTGTAATGGAAACATGGATTTCTACCTAACCATGTTCGATATGCAGGGACTGATTGATATATAGAAAAAGTTAGAACTATTCTTTGTAAATTAAAACTAATTTTAATCTTATTCCCATATGGAGTAATATATCCAATTCGTGATGGAATCCCCCCATGAAGGAAGCATATTCCACTCTCTTTTTCTCCGTTTTTCTTTTCATGGATATTCAATCTGCGCGGCAATCATCCAATATGTGTATACTCGTAGCCCCAAATCATACGTGTAGACAAATTATATCTTAGCCAACAAAATCCCGTTTATCGCCTCATCATCTCAATGTTGATTATAATTACAAATGGCTACAAAAATGCAATTTGATACCAAAAAAAAACGAAGACTTTGTAGAGTTTTAAGCACATCATTGGCCGTGGCAAACGCTGCCATGTCCATGTTGATTGAAACCGAAATTGATATTGATGTGGAAGCCTCTGCGTCTAATTTCTGGCTTTTCCCAGACTTTGTTGCCGTGTCTAGGCCTCTCTTTCAGCGGTGGCGTGGGGACTGGGGGGCTCTCTGCCGACTTCTGCTCAATGGGTTCCATTGAGCCAGAAACCCAAACGTTCACTCTTAATAACTTTATTTTGAAAATGGCAGAGAGAGGGGCAGCTTGGGGGTAAAAGATGTGCTTGCCCCTGCCACACGCCACACAAAAAGAAGGCACGATCCATTCAGCGCATGAACCGTTGCAAATCGATTTCGTTACGTTTTCATTTCCTCAACTCAACTCAACGAAAGCAGCCAGCGAAAGATCTTTTTTACCCACGAGATTTCTGAGGCATTTTTTTATGCTTTTTTTTTGCAGAGAGTTTGCAGTCCGAAAAATACCCGAAACGTAATTACCCCGTTTAAACGCCCCAAAACAGAAGCAGCAGCAACTGAAAACTGAAGTAGCAACAGGCAATCTTTTGTGCTAATGACTATCTTTAGAGGGCCCCCAAAACGAGCCAAAGACGGGTAGCAAACAGTCTGACAAACAGTCAAACGTTCCTTCAGACAGACAGACATCGACGAGTCGAACCCACAGACAGACAGACAGACAGACTGAACAGAAAGAACGAGAGAACAAAGCCCAGAGGCCAAATAATTTTCTAGCAAAATTTTTCAACTATTAGAAAAATGTGCCCCAAACCCGAGAGACGCCGGAATCCAAGAATCCGACTTCAAGTCTTGTGGTTTCCCCTGAAAACCAACAGCTGACGAATGGTTGATCCAACCGAGTTGGAGATTCAAGAATTAAGCAATGAACACTGCGAGAAATGGGGCATACAATTGGACGAAAAATAAAGCCAGGAAAGCTACGATTTAATTATGAATGAAAGATGAAAATTCCATTTAGAACGGACCCCGAATCTACCCAAAATTGTAGCCAAAATGTCGCACTTTTGGTAACTGGTAGCTGGTAGCTGCTTTTCCTTTTCTCTCAGTGTAAGTACGTGCCGAGCAGTGCAGAGTTTGTGATCAGAACGCGGGCCTGCAGTACTTAGTAGCAGCAGCAACAGCAGCAGCAGCAGCCGACTAGTTGAAGAGAGTAATTGTAATAACAATTGCGCAGTTTGCGTCAGTCACTTAACTTCTACGTTTTTCCCTTGCCCCCTGCCCACTTTGGCGTGTGGTAAAGTGAGGAAAAGTCTCAGCCCGTTTAGTTAAGAGCCCTGGCACTGGCACCGGCACTGGCACTAGCACTGGACCGGGGGCATCAGCCGCAGTAACAGCATCAGATTCAGGCCCCAACTCCAGCTGCAAATCTTGTGTAACAGCCTGGAGATCCCCTACCCTGCTCTATCTTGTTGCAACAGCTTTAGCTGTGCCTCCTCTTAGCCGGTAGGCGTTTTGTCAATCGACTGGCAATCGACAGGCGACGGCACAGATGACAGGCCGCCCAGGCTAATGAAAAAGATAAACAACTGGATCACATCACAGCACGGACAGCCAGCAAGCCTCAGCAAGACACGCAGCTAATATCCCAAAGGGGTGGGGAGAAAATCCACGGTGGGGTGGGGTGGGGTTGTGGAGGAAGCTGAGCCTCAGATGGCGGCGGCATCTTTGAGATATGCTGCCCTGCCTCCTCGCACGGGAAAGGAAAGTACTGCCTAGTTATAATCACAGCGCGTAACGCAAACACAATTTTTGAGTGGTTCGGGTTCGGGTTCGGGCCATGTGAAATCCATCTATGTATGCCTGGAGGCGAGCCAACCTTAGAAGATCTACGACCAACACCAGAGCAATAGCTGTGAGGAGGAGGAGGAGGAGGAGCAGAAATGTGTGTGTACAGTCTGGGGGAAAAGTCGTTGCACCTGAGACGGACGACGACCGCTTATCAATGTGAAAATCATAAGAGCAAAGAGAACAAACCCCACCAAAGAGCGGAAGCAGTCTAGGAAAATTGAAAGAGGTGCTCAAAATCTCGTTATAACTGGGGGGAATACTTACATCTCTCCCATATATAGGCGCTGCAGAGAGCGGCGGCATGATAAATGATGCACATTTGATATAGGGATTAATGGCAAGAAACTGTTTATGTTCTTTTGGGAGATTTAAGAGCACATTCAGTGGAGCAGCGCAGGGGAAGGCAGTGGGGGAACCCATACATAGATAAATCATACTTTATCAACATTCTGCAGCTAATGGAAAATTCATTAGACCAGCTACGGATCTGCTTGATGACTTTGTGGGATTAATGATAATGATTCTCATTAATTCTGATTTACTTTTACATGGAATCAAATCACTCTCTCTTATCATGGATCACTAAAGATTCTTCAATGGATATTCTGTGACTTTTAATGGCACTCTTCTCAGGCAAGAATCCGGAAGTAGTCTCCATTCATAATAACGCAGACAGTAACTGAACTGAACTCCCGTTTACTCCTGTGTGTCTGTGTGTGTGTGTGTGTGGTGCAAACTTTATGGGCTAACTGTCTGAGCATCTGGCGCCTCGTTTGCTAATTGAAAGTAAATTTACACCCAGATAGGGAGCAAGAGAGAGAGGGGGGAGCGCACTTATTAATTATTTATAATTAAGTACCAGAGTCGCTGGACAGTCATTACGCATACGCAATGTGGAGCCACAGATACATATAACATTCCATTGAGCCTCAGGCTCTCTGGGCAACCTGCCTACTCTGGGGGCAGGCAGGCAGGCAGGCTGCTCGAAATACGAGTACTAAAAGCAACACGTTTCCCCCCAAAAGCTGTTAAGTGTCCGGCAGTGGGCCACAAACATAAATCACTGCCAGAGCGCGCTTCCCCCTGGTTTATTAACCTCTCTCGCACCACGGCTAATGGCCAATGGGCAATGGCCAAGTGCTGTGCAACCTGTGTGTCTGCAACCGCTGGCTGCAACCGCTGGCTGCACTTGCACCTCTGACTGACCACAGATGAAGGTGTGGAGTGGATTGGTGTGGTGTGGTGTGGTGTGTGTAGCGGTAGCCCCCCAGCTGTTTCCTTTTCTTTGGCTTTTCTTTTGGCTGCGTTTGTAGCGCGGTGCAGCTTTGTTTTCCATTGTCCAAATATTTACTTTGTCTTGCGGCTGAGACTCGAGACTCCGAGGCTCAAGCCCCATGACGCTGCTGCTTTTAGGGTCAGTTTCTGTGTTCTGTGTTCTCTGTTTTTCTCTCCGTCTCTCTCTCTCTCTTGGTTCTCTTTAGTGCTTCTTGTAATTTATTTTCCTCTCTGTGGCATAATTAATTTGGTTTTCATTTCCCCCACAATTCTCTTTCTCATCTCTATTCTAAGTAGCTTCATTTTCGATGTCATAACGGTTCGTTTTGGAGCCCGCCCGGCCCAATTTTAGGCACGATTTATGTTCACTCCGGTTCGGTCCCTTGAGGAAGTTACACCGCAAACACGTGCGTAACCGTAACGATACAAATTGACCATAAATGAGGGGCAAATACGAGCAGTACGAGGAGTATTCGCATCTGAATCAAGAGTCGTGCAATCGCAATCACTTTTCAATACAGACAATGAGCTCTATTAAAAAGGGAATGGCCAGGCCGATGGCCGATGGCTGATGACAATTTGACAGATTGAAAGTGAAAAGTAAATGTCTGCCTCTAAGTGCTTTGCTTGTAAGGGTTAGTGTGGATAGCATGGGATAGGATAGGATAGGATAGGAGATGTCTCTTATCGTTAATTTGCATGAAATGCACGTTCAAGCACAGGGCCCTGGAGCCAGCCCCGACGCGTCGTCGTTGTCGTTGTCGTCGTCTCTGTGGGTCAATCAGCATTCACTTGTCTCTCATTCACAGACAGACATACAGTCGGACAGACGGACGGACAGACGGACGGACTCTCAAGTGGTAGTCGGGGAAGAGGAGAAAAACCTCGAGGCCTTTTAGAGAGCCCAATGATTGTCGAAGATGAGCTGCAGAAAGTTAGAAAAGAAAAGTAGTTGGGGCACAAATAGAATAAAATGAATGGTTCCAATGCTCAAGGGTTTTCACTCACTTAATGAGTGCTCTCCAAAGAGATCCCACTCCCCGATCCCAATTGAAGCGATCCATAAACCATTCATTCACACCTTCAGACACTCGACTGAGAGACAGACAGACACTTCGTTTTAAACTAGTTCTCTCTCTGCAATTAATGCAGAAATAATTACACATCTGTCGCTAAATGTTGCTCAATGTTTCATTCCGTTCAATACACTCATTCATATACTTCATTCACTTCATTCACTTGATTCGTGTGACTCTTAATTATCATTTATCATTCATTCATTCATTCATTCATTCATATAGCTGTAAATGGCATTTGTGCTGCTGTCATGGGAATTGTATGAACACAATCAATGGGGCTACTTCTGGATATATTTATTATTATCTTTTCATTATTTTTGTTCTCATTCCATGGATCGCAGTATGTGGGAGAGTCGTTCTCAAGAACAGGTATTGCCTCTTGACCTTGTTTGTGTGCTGCACTCCACTGCCCTCCACTTCCTTGGCTGCCTTTTTACTGCTGCCATTTCCATTGTCATTGTTTGGGCGGAGTCGTCTCTCTTTTTGTTAAGCCCCAACAATGATATAATACTTATTATGACTCTTGGCCTGGAACCACATAAATATTATTACATCATATTGTTCTTTCTCTGCAGGTGCTACTGCTTTTCGGGGGGTGAATAATCTTAGGAAAATCCAAAAGATTCTCCATTGCCAAAAATAAACCTTAATTTTTAATTGAACACAAAATTTCTGCCTTGAGGCCAGTGCACTTTTATTGTATAACTGTCTGTGGCCCCAAGGTCTTTCCCAATCACAAAATTAAACTTAATTTCACAATATGCCGAATGAATTTTTAACGCATTTAAATAATTTTGCGCCTGAAGTTGTACAAATGGAATAATGGGGGTTGCTGGGTTCCATCAAATTATATAACCACCAGCCACTGCGCTGGAAGACGAAGACAGTCACAGTTTGGTGACTGCTACACGTCTGAGTCTGAGACTGAGTCTGAAACTGCCACAAAAATTGGTTAAGAGTAAGAGGACAAATTTCGTTTTACGCGCAGGTGAATTGCGCTTTTATATAGCACTTTGATTGCCGCATGAATGGGATGGTATGTGGTATATAGAGAGGAGGATTCGGTGGTGTTACGGGAGCCAGAGCCAAAGCCGAGCCCGAGTCGAGCCCCACAATGCAACAATTATTCTGCTCGATGACTTTCGCTAATAAAACGACATAAGCTCTTCAGCAGTGGAAGTTGACACAAGACCCAGAGATACAGACAGACAGACAGACAAACAGACAGAAGATGACTCTCTGGATTTTATAACACAGTCCCCTCCCCTGTAAAGATAATCGCCTGCTGCAATCTTCCAGCCAGGGGGATTTATGGCGCAAACTTTTATAAAATTAGAATGTCTGGGCAATTTAAGCCAAGAGCAATCAAATTAGTTGGAGGTGCCAAAACAGAGGGGGTCTATAAACAATATGTTCATGCTAATTTTATGGTAAATAAATATATAAGTATGTTTAAGAGATATTCCCCCAACAGATGTTCCCCCTGGAGATTCTTCCCGAAGAAAATTCCCTCATAAATTAGGTTTTGGAACTAACGGATGCCCGGAATTTTGGTTGTCCAATTAAGAGAGAAAAGAATAGGGCTTAGAATAGAGACAGCAACATAATGATAATTAAAATATAAAAATGGGTATAAAACGGGTGTGTGGAAAACCGTAAATGCTGGAAACTTGCAGACAGGAAAAGTTCTCTCTTTGGTTTTTACTTTTGGCTTTGCTTTTGCCATTTGGCAAGTGAAAGCTACAGACATTTATTTCTCCATCTATATATAAATCCCATTTTAATATCGACTTACTAGACTTTCAGTTCTTTCAGTTTTTTTTTTTTGGTAGCACTTCGCCTTCGGATCGTTGAATTTGAGGCCCGGTTAGAGTCTGTTCAGTATTTAATTGCTCGATTTGTATATAGAACAATGAACTGTCGATGGATTTGGATTATTAACTTTGATTTTCACTGGTTGCCATTTTGGCCACGTTTTTCAAGTTTTCTTTTCTTTTTTTGCACACATTCCTTTTTTTGTTTTGTTTTTGGAATTTTGTGTTAAATATAATTTGGACTTTCCACCGTTTTCATGGTCAATAAATCGCGTTCAATCAAATTGTAACGAATCTTTTCTTTCTTTTTTGTTTTCTTTAACTGCTTTTGTTTTTTCTTTTTTTTTTTGTTTAATTGATTTGCATTTCACTGTGTGGCCATAAAGACTTTTGTAAATATTGTTTCGAGGCAATAAAATGCAACACGAACAGCCCGAAGATCCGACAGATCCCCAACAGCACTCTGAATTAATTGTTGTTGAACCTTTTTTTATTTGTTTGTGGGCCTCGGGTTTATTTGTTTGTTTGAAAGATATTTTGATTTAGGCTTTTGATTTAGTTTAGAGCTGAGCGGAGATTTTCCTTCGATTCGATTGGATTGATTTTTTCACTTTCGGTGGACTTCACTTTTCTTTTTCTCACCGCCTCGCCTCGCCACGCCTCGTTTTGTTTCGTTTCGTGGGCGTTCGTTTATGGGGCTGCAAAAAACAGAAGAAACAGAAGTAGAGCTGTTAATGGAAATGGGCCAACGATCGAATTAGAAATCATAGCCGAAAATTTATGCAAAAGGTGCCAGGGCCCAGCCATATGATTAGGCCAAACAAAAAAAAAACCACCGAGCTTCGGACCCTATTTGCATTCGATCTGCTGGTAGCCGAACGAAATTGCCAAAAATTGATGTATATCAGCAGCGTGGTTCGTGGGGAGTCCATTGCCCGATCAGTTCGGTTCAGGCAGGGGCATTGGCTTACCAGAAACTACAGAGTATTCACATTGACCAAATTGATGGCTATCTTGAGTTATGAGGCGTTATGGAAATGGAAATTGCATCTAACACACGGATCGGATCGGATCGGCGCGGAGGACCACTCAAAAGTGACAGTTGAAAGCGACGACGATTTGGCGAATTAATGCCTCATGCTGATGCCTCATTTTCGGGGGTCTTTGATTCGAAAGTGACAAACCCTAGGGGACGACGGGGCAAGGGCAGGGGAAACAGTTTGATGATCTCCAAACACGATAGACTGATGATCTGTAAATACGTATACGTATACGTATGCTTATGCTTATGCTTATGCTTATCTGGGGTGAGAGGAACATTAGACTAAATAACTTTTGCGTTTTCGCTGATTTCAGCAAATTATTCGAATTATCAAATATCAAACTTAATACGAGTGTTTATTCGATTAAAGTGAGATTTCTTTTCTGATGAATTCAAGAGCATCAAGAAATGGTTCTGTTAATGATGCTCCATAATCTGAAACAAAATCTCCTTTCAATGGCTTTCCCCCACCTAGTTTCTTGCCTCAAAGTTTATGCAATATGATTGTTTATCTGTGTATTATTACATTTCCCCCTTTTATTTTCTTTTCTCAATGTTTTTTATTTGCATTTTCAATGCGGGGAACCGCTACAATGATCTGAGGTGAGGTTGCCCCCACCATTCCGTGCACCACAAGAATCACTCGCCAGGCCGCAGCTTCCTTCCAGCCAGTGACTGGCTCATTAAATGTGAATTTGCACTTCTTTGCCGCTTAATGTGGTGGTGCTTCCTTGTGGCACGACAACAACGACAGCAACAACGAAGAGTGGAAGTTGTCAACGGGCAACAATTAACTGGTGCAGCGCCTACTGGCCAGGCCAAAGGGGTCTTTTGTGTTGGTCTTTCTGCTGCTGGCTTAATTGTGCCAAAGTGCTGCCAATTTTTATTGCCAACTTATCGCTTTGCAACCCTGTCTGCAGCTCTGTCCCTCACTCTTTGGGTGCTGTTGTACTTCACTTAATGAATACCGTTAGACAGCCACAGTGGCAGTCGCAAGTTGATTTTTTTGTTGCTACTTGGCTGCAACGCATTCGAAGAACAAACATCAAACTGTTTGGCTGCTGCTGCGGACTCCACGGACTCCATGGACCCATGGAGCGCTATCAAAACTAATTTATATGCAAATGCAGTTCAAGTAGCTGCAACAAAAGACAATGTCGGGATGGAGTTGGAGTTGGAGCTGGAGCTGGAGTCCACGACGATGGGAGTCGTCCCTGCTGGAGTTGGCGGCGTTGCCAACACCCGGAAACGGGTGGAGGGAGGGGAAGCGGTAGAACAGTGGGAAGAAGTTCTGATCTTCGTTCTTCACTCTCTCTCTCTCTCTCTCTTCGCGTCTCTCTCTTTCTCTCTCTCTGCGAAATTCTCTCCAGAATAGCAACAACACACACGGCATGATTTACCGTAGAGAACAACAAAGAAATTAATTAACTGCACTTGTATGCCTCTAGCCTTCGCTCTCGCTCCCGCTCCCGCTCTCTCCCCTATGGGAGAACCTCTGTGGCATGTGTGTGAGTGTGAGTGAGTGCATTAGCTTTGCAGTTAAATGCTGCGCGAGTAACAGCAGCAGCAGCAGCAGCAGCGGGCAGCGACAGAGCGTTGCATTTGACAGTGTCGGGAGCAGGAAAAACTGGCTGCAGTCGCCGTCACCGTCACCGTAGCCGCCGCAGCATTAACTCACTTTTGCATTTCCACTTCTTCTTCTTCTAGCTGCTGTTGTTTTTGTTGTTTTTGTTGTGACTTCTTTCCACGTTTTGCCACTTCTTTTCCTTTTGGTTGTTGTTGCAAGTTTTGTTTGGTTTTTGGTGGCACAACAAGTGGCAGGTTGAGCCGCGCGATTGCGCCGTGGACTAATTAGTGCTCATGTCGCCTGCCAAAAAGTTATCGACCGGCGCACTGGCGCAGGTCATTCGCCCCGTCGGCTTTCAGTGCAATTCTGTTCCGGTTACAGCTACTGTAATGGTTACTTCTTCTGTTATCCGGCTGTCCCTTAAAGGTGCTATGGCCCTGCCCTGGCCCTGCCCTAATCCTAATGTTATCCCTCCTGTCATTCGTCTGCCTTCAAACGTGTATGCTGCTCCCTTTAATCCTGCTGCCATTCTCCTGGCTGTTTTATCCTGCTGTCAACTTTTACTGCGACTCGACTCTGATAACTTTTTATTTCTTAATTAGCAGCACTTGCTCCACTTATCTCCCTGAAGCTGAGGCCTGTCGGGGTGTCTGGGTGTTAATTTCAAAATTTCAACGCGTGCCCCTGCTGCCACTGCCACTTCTACCGCCACCGCCACTGCTGCTGTTGCTGTTGCAGCAATGCGTTGACAGCGAATGCAATTTGAACTTGATGGCCGGCAACGTGACACGCATATTAAGCAGAGTCTTACGCTCTCCTCCAATCCAGAGCTCCGGTTTTGTAATATGCATGAGGGGGGGTCTGGGAGTGGGATTCGAGCTGTGTGTGCCGTGGATGGGGATGGCAATGGGGCAGGGGCAGGGGCACGATAGAGAGCCCGCCGGGCGGCGCTTGGAATACGCATAAAGCGGCCGCGCATGCGCAATTAGTCGTGATTGAGTCGCAAGTTTGTTTAAGCGACAAGAGCGACATCAGAGCAGCCAGCGACCACAGACCAGAGACCAGGAGAAGCAGAAGGAGGAGATGATGAAGAAACTACACACAAAATAGCAGCAAAATTACTTTGAACACGAAAAAAGCACACACGCGGGGGGGGGGGACACATGGACACAGGGACACAGGGACAGCATAAACGTGGAAAACTCTCACTTTTGACGGGTCTGGAGACTGGGGTCTGGAATCTGGCTTAATGTATTAACAGTTTTTTATTTTTTTCTTCTTTTTCTTAACTGTCGATTAACAATTTCGATCGGTTACCAACACAGCATAAAGTTTTGCTGCTGCTGCCATTTGATTGATTGAAATGTCTAAAGATTCATGATTTTGGTTTGGGTTTGGGTTTTGGTTGATTTTTTTTGTATAACATTTATTTTTTCTCGCTTTGCCTCGAAGGCTGTGGTTTAAAATGTGTAAAAAATATTAGGCACCTTTTTTTTGTTTTGTGATGGATAATCTTGGGATGGATGTGAATGGATGTGGATGGGCTCCGTGTGAATATACAAAATCGATAGCGAAACCGAATCCGAATCGGAAACCGATCTGAACCGCACACGTTCGCTGTAAAAACCGAACTGCGGCCGGCAAAGCATCAGGCCAAGCATAAAACTGCGGCCAAGAGAAAAGCAAAGCCCCCAGCCAGCCGCCTCTAAGAGCGGCTCCGCTCCGAAGAGAGCAGCCCACCGCACGAGAAGAGAGAGAGAGAGAGCGAGCTGGCTGGCGTTGGAGCGTGCTCGAAGAGAGATTTATGATGGACAAGTTTGTGCCTGCAGTGTTTCGCCGAACAGCTGATTGCGAGCCTCTTTAGCTTACAAATTGATAAGTGCACAAATGTTTACGGTACGATTCGACCTCGACCCCCCAGGCACACGCGAGTATGAATGTATGTACATATATCTATAGGAACACACACACACACAGACAGCATACGTGTGAGTATGTCTGAACATTTATTTGACCATAAATTTTCAACAGCTTTTCTTCTTGCTTTCCATTCATTCCCAGACTTTGTCACTCGGCCGGTCAGTATTTTGCAAGTGTCCGCTGCGGAATGGCTTCGGCTTGGGCTTCGGTTTCCCCGCTCCTCCTCCTCCTCCACCACTGCTGAGGGGGGCAGTATGTGTGTGGGTGATTCATGAGCGGTCGTTCAGACTTCAGCGGGCCCGAGCGATTATTTAATCTCCGTATTAGCGCAAACTCTTGTGCGGTTTCTTTATTGACTCACCCGCCGACCGATGCGACCGATGGCCCCGACTCCTGAAAGTGGGTCAGTGTTAAAGATTTTTCTCTCATTTGGGGTTTTTTGTATGAGTTATCAGTATAACTGTTATATAACACTTGAGTGCAGTCTATTGTTGGGGCTTTATGGCTTTACGGCTGCAGGGGTAGGGTAGCCTGAATGCGGTCGAAATGGATGATTCAGTTCGTTTCAATTGATTTTTTGGGTGTGGGTACGATGATGTTGATGGATGCTGAAATGCGGCCAGAGGTGGAATACATTTTGATAAATAGCCTGGCAGATCCCCCTAGTTGATAAGTAGTCACTTTAACAAGATCACGGATCTCTAGAGGCTTTTAATGGGTCTCTCAAAGGAGCTCCATATACGCGTATTGTGGGACATAAATAAGAATCATTAAGAAAATTAAAGAACTAAAAAGCACTTAATACCTGGAGATATTATTCATCATTTCTATGGGTCATCAGTGAGGGGAGTGTTTAAAAAGGATATTTATGAATGAACTGATCATGGTAAATGGAACAAGGATCCATGAAGCCATAGTCATTACTAAGTGGATCACTGCTCTTCAAGCTTCTGTTTGTTAGAAATCAAACACCAAATTAATTATCCATTTGGCTATCGTTCTAATGAAAAATGAACCCCAACACATTGTAAATGGGCCCCAGTCGAACGTTTGTTTCAGTTCTGAAAAGTGCAGTTCAACGAACGTTCTCGGACTCTCGGTCTGAGCACGGACAGTGGGGGGAAAAAAAAGAGAAAGAGAAACATTCATTCATGCCTGACTGGTCTCTG